TCGCCTAAGCCGATCAAAGACAGAATATATGGAGTGCAAGTTCAGTGCAAATGGAGGCCAAAACGAGTTAGGGGTGAGGATCGGAGATCAAGAAATACCAAAGAGCGACCGTTTTCGTTACCTAGGATCTATCTTGCAAAAGAACGGAGAATTAGATGGAGATCTCAACCACAGAATACAAGCTGGATGGATGAAGTGGAAGAGTGCATCCGGCGTGTTGTGTGACCGTCGTATGCCACTGAAGCTCAAGGGAAAATTTTATAGGACGGCAATAAGGCCGGCGATGCTGTATGGCACAGAATGTTGGGCGGTGAAATATCAACACGTACACAAAATGGGTGTAGCGGAGATGAGGATGCTTCGTTGGATGTGTGGGCACACGAGAAAGGATAAGATTAGGAATGAGGATATCCGGGGTAAAGTAGGAGTAGCCGAAATTGAAGGAAAGATGAGAGAAAATCGGTTACGGTGGTTTGGACATGTGCAAAGAAGGCCTACTGACGCTCCGATTAGAAGATGCGACTATGGGACAGAGGTTCAGGGCCGAAGGGGTAGAGGAAGACCTAGGAAAACTTTGGAAGAGACTCTAAGAAAAGACTTAGAGTACTTGGATCTAACAAAGGACATGACTCAGGATCGAGCACAATGGCGTTCTAAGATTCATATAGCCGATCCCACTCAGTGACTTGGATTTTCCAAGTCTCCAACCGAGAAGTTTTCCTCACTCGGGAAATTAAGGGAACACTACCCCAACCTATATGCTCCACTCAGAAAGCTTCAACATACAAGCTTCAACAAAAGAAAATTAAAAGAACTTAGCGAAGAAGGCTTTGGTGTATTTAACACAATACGTTGAAATGAAGGAAAGCTTATTTATTGATATCCCCGATAAGCTACAAATATGTACATATACATGAGTCAAAATAAACACACAAGAGTGAGCCTTCACAAAGGTTGCTTAGGAGAAGTCTCAGCAGTCGGTAGAGCCCCAGAAAGAGAAGGCACCGGAGGGGGATCATTTGGAGCCTCAGTACTGGACAGAACCCTAGAAGGAGGAGGCATCAGAGGTTGATCATTCGGAGCTTCATTACGCGGTATAGCCCCAGAAGACGAAGGCAATAAATGCCTTTGGAACAAACCCACAAATCTCTGATGATCAAGTAAAACCTGACCATCAGTTTCCTTCATCTGGTCAAGCTTCCTCTTCATATTTGTAGCATAGTCATGTGCGAGCCGGTGCAACTGTTTATTCTCATGCTTGAGCCCTCTAATCTCCTGTTTGAGACTCATCACTTCAGCCGCCAATGATTCAACTTGGCGGGTTCGAGCAAATAGGCGTTGGGCCATATTAGACACAGAACCTGCACACTGAACACTAAGAGCCAGCAAATCCTTAACAGCTAACTCATCAGTCCGTTTGGAAAGTAGTCTGTTATCTTTGGGAGTGAGAAGGTTCCTGGCCACCACCTCAGCGGTCATATCATTCTTCATCACGGAATCCCCAACGGTAAGAGGACCAGTAGGGGAGACGAAGGATGGGCGCCATATGTTGTCTGGAGAAGGCGGGGCTGCCTCTTCAACAAGGTTCAAGTCAAAACGACGGTCGGAGGGGCCAGACATTTTCAAAGGTGTTGAAGAGAGAAGAGGTCGAACAAATCAAGATCTTAGAAGTACAAGAATGAAGCTTCTACTGGTGGAGATTCAAGTGTGCTTTGGAACTTAATGCCAGCCCCTATAAAAATCTGCACTCGACGGAGCTTCAGAAATCGAAGAGGCGCCTGCTCAGAAATCGAAGAGGCGTTTGCTTTCTCAAAAGCTGGGCTGCTTAGAGATCACGAGGGTTGATCTCAGAAATCGAAGAGGCGTTTGCTTTCTCAAAAGTTGGGCTGCTCAAAGACCATGAAGGCCGATCTCAGAAATCGAAGAGGTGCTCGCTTTCTCAAAAGCTGGGCTCCCCAGAGACCACGAGGGTCGATCTCAGAAACCGAAGAGGCACCTACTTTTCCAGCCTTGTCAGCACCTGTCACACGCACACTCAGCTTTGCGGAAATTATGGGCATTCTGTCGAAGACTTCTGGGGAAGTAGAAAACACATGAATCTTACTGTTCAATCACCCACTTCCCACACGCAACAATAGCTCATGGGTACCACAGATAACTTTGCCAAAGTTCTCTGCCAAAGTTGAGCACGTGAAGCTTGCAGCTCCCACTACATCGCTCTGACCAAGAAGGGTAAAAGAATAGCAAAGAAACAGCACTAACAAAGTTTAGACCCATAAATTTTGAAGGTCTAGCTACCATATTATTACCCACAAGGGTAAAGGAACAGTACCACTGCTGGATAATTGGAAAGTCCCTGTGTGTCAACCTCTGTGCTTCGTGGCAAGGTAGACTAGCAAACATGCCCAACCTTTACTCACATTCGAGAAAACACTCCCAATAAGATTGCTTGCTCCAAAATCGAAGAGGCACCGTCCCCCGAATCTCGAGAGCCAGACTCCCAACATGACTACTTTCTTAAAAATCGAAGAGAGGGTAAAGGAACAGTACCATTGCTGGATAATTGGAAAGTCCCTGTGTGTCAACCTCTGTGCTTCGTGGCAAGGTAGACTAGCAAACATGCCCAACCTTTACTGACATTCGAGAAAACACTCCCAACAAGATTGCTTGCTCCAAAATCGAAGAGGCACCGCCCTCCGAATCTCAAGAGCCAGACTCCCAACATGATTACTTTCTCAAAAATCGAAGACACCGCTCTCCGAATCTCGAGAGTCAGACCGCCAGTAGGATTGCTTTCTCAAAAATCGAAGAGGCATCGTTCTCCGAATCTCGAGAGCCAGATCCCCGACAGGATTGCTTGTTCGAAAACCGAAGAGGCACCACTTTCCCAACTTCAAGAGCTGGATCTCCTTGGATAAAGTTTGTCTGTAATCTTCACACGCAACATCAGCTTTCCAGATACCACAGACCACTTTTTCAAAGTGCTCTGACAGAGTTAAAACTTGTGAAGCTGGCAGCTCCCACTACCGTGCTATGACCAAGCAGGGTAAAGGAATAGCATTATTACTTGATGTTAGGGAGACTCCTATATATGTCGACCTCCATCCCCAACGGACATGCAGACCTGCAAAAATGCTCAACCCTTCCTCTTATCTGAGAGGGCACTCCCAACGAAGCCTTTCGAAATATTCAGCTTTCTTTCCCCCCGATAATACCTCTGTAAACAAGCTATACTAGAGCAAGAATATCTCATATCATCAGGGTTAAAAGCAAGAGTATCCCATATCATGCTTTTTCCCTGTCTTTTCCTTTGGTCTTGTTCTTACCTGCAAGACAATGAGAAAGAGAGCAATCAGTCAGCACTTGGAATCAAGCTTCCAGCCAGGAACTGACTGCCTGGAACCCCTTACCTGATTACTTACCTGGCATTGCTCTCGAGTACTCATCTTCAACATCTTATGCTTCCAGGGAAGATCCCGCATCTGCCTGAGGAACAGATAGGGCAAGTGAGAAGGATACAAGGAAGCATGTGGAGACAAGCGTAACAGCACATGTGCCGATACATCCATTACTCTGTCAAAAGCAAAAGTATCTCATATCAGCAGGGTCGAACGTACTCTAGATTTGATGGACTTGTTTTGACCCTCAAATTCTTCAGTCGGCCTTATCTCTGGAGGAAACCAGAAAACCCTCCAGCCCAGTTCAAGAATAAGCATGTGGAAAGTTACTTCTTCAAAAGCAAAAGTATCCCATATCATCTCTTCTCATTTTTTTTTCTCTTTATCCTTCATGCTGCCTGCAAGATAGGGAGAATGTGAACAATCAGCCGGAGCTCTGATTGCTTACCTTGTCTGTCACCTCTTTCAGCAGATCCCCTAGCTCGGCGACTTGGGGGACTCCTACTACATGGTTTGTATCGCGCTTAACCAAGCCTGAAACTACAAGTAAGCTTCAAGTGACATTGATACATTACCTTGTGCATCTCCACCAGTTACAGATACCACCCCTGGATGGAGGAAGAGTACTTCCAGAGAAGATGCCATATCTACCTATGAGACAGATAAGGAAAGTCAAGACGATACCACACTCCAGTACTTAGAAGTTTCGTGGTTACGAGATCATTCTCCCACAATATTTCCTAATGTCATTTGTACTAAATCATTCACTTGTACTCGCTAAAGGAGAGCTTGAACCTATGTACTTGTGTAAACCCTTCACAATTAATGAGAACTCCTCTATTCCGTGGACGTAGCCAATCTGGGTGAACCACGTACATCTTGTGATTGCTTTCCTATCTCTATCCATTTATATACTTATCCACACTAATGACCGGAGCAATCTAGCGAAGATCACAAAAAGTGACCGTTTTCGCTACCTAGGATCTATCTTGCAAGAGAACGGAGAATTAGATGGAGATCTCAACCATAGAATACAAGCTGGATGGATGAAGTGTAAGAGTGCATCCGGCGTGTTGTGTAACCGTCGTAGGCCACTGAAGCTCAAGGGAAAATTTTATAGGACGGCAATAAGGCCAGCGATGTTTTTATGGCACAGAATGTTGGGCGGTGAAGCATCAACACGTACACAAAATGGGTGTAGCGGAGATGAGGATGCTTCATGGGATGTATGGGCACACGAGAAAGGATAAGATTGGGAATGAGGATATCCGAGGTAAAGTAGGAGTAGCCAAAATTGAAGGAAATATGAGAGAAAATCGGTTCCGGTGGTTTGGACATGTGCAAAGAAGGCCTACTGACGTTCCGGTTCAAAAATGTGACTATGGGACAGAGGTTCAGGGCCGAAGGGGTAGAGGAAGACCTAGGAAAACTTTGGAAGAGACCCTAAGAAAAGACTTGAGTACTTGGATCTAACGGAGGAGATGACACAAAACCGAGCGCAATGGCGTTCTAGGATTCATATAGCCGACCCCACTTAGTGGGAAAAGGCTTTGTTGTTGTTGTGGTTAATCTTCAAAGAAGACAATTTCTTTATCCAAAACCATGGAAGCAAGAGCTAAAGGGGGAAGGCTTTCCGAGGAAGTAGAGTTACACACTGAAGGAAGCAGTCGCAACCGAATCAGTAGTCTTCCGGATGATATATTGCATCACATACTCTCCCTTCTACCTGTCGGATCCACTGCACAAACCAGTGTTTTGTCTAGACAATGGAATCATTTATGGGCTTCCCTTCCTATCCTAGACTTCTCCGATGTAAAAGGTGGAGCAGTGGAATTCATAAGCAAAGTACTGAGACACCGCCATGAAAACTCCAATTTAAAGGTTTTTAGGGTTAAAGGATATCTGAGTTCTTCTTGTTTGTATTCTTGTATTGATCGGGTGGTGAAGTATAGGGTTGAAGAACTTGCACTTGATGTCTCCTTAACTGACAAGTATTTTTCCGGCGACGCATTCGGTTTGCCTAGTTTGTTTAAGTGTGATTCATTGAGGAGCCTCACATTAGCCACCTATAAAAATCCATATTATTCGCCATCAATTCCAAAACCACACTTTGGTCTTTTATTATCTTCTAATGCTGTGGCTAAAAGTGGTCTGCACCAACTTCACACATTGTCTCTAACTCGTGTGGAGTTTTTGGATAGTGCTTTGGAGCTGGATTTATTTTCTGCTTCTTCTTTACCTTCTCTTGAGAAATTAAGTATTACAAATTGTAAAGGCATCACTCATCTCAAAATTACTTGTCCAAACATCAAAGATGTACACATTATCAGGATGTTTCTTAGCAGCCTGGACATCTCCGGAATGAGACTAGAGAATTTGGAAATCACACACTGTTTTGAAGTAATGGTTAATGGAAATCGGGTCAAAATTTTTGCCCTGAATCTGAAAACTTTCTGGTGGCAACATAACTACTGTACGGAGGAAAGTTTTGCTCCGAGCTTTCCCATCCTGAGAGCATGTCACCTGGCTTGTTTCAGTAAAGTAGTCGATGTGACCATGGTGAAGCCAACAATCAATCTTCTTTGCGGATCTTCGCAGGTTCAGAAGCTTTGCATTTATGATAGCTATCTCCGGGTTAGTTTTCCAAAATTTATGCATGTTTTCTTGTTTACTAAGAGGTGCTGTGCAGTTCATCTATAAGTAGTGAACTGATCTCATGACATCAAACATGCATTGTTTTGTATTTTTCAGAAAACAAAATGCATTACTACTCGGTAGATTTCCTCCTCCAATCCATAAACGTTTTGAGAGAGACTTGCAAAATATTGTTTGGAAATTTCAGAGATATTTGGAAAATTTCAGAGAGACTCACTATCCTATAAGATATTTGGAAAATTTTGAACTTTTCTAATTATACACTATTACACTTACTCATATTTAGAGAGAAGCAAATATGGGGGACCGCGTTCATTAAGTCAGACACCCATAATTATATATGAAAGCTAAATAATTTAACACACATTTTCTCACCTCATACACACACTTTAGTTTTGTACCCGTTTAGATTGAACAGTTAAAGGAAAATCAACACAGTCAAAACTAAAAGGGTGTGCTTAAAGTAAAAAATGGTGTGTTGAACTGAAATCATCACTGCCTATATGAAACATCCATGTATGGTTAAACAACTTTTCATCTGTTTTTATCTTATGTCTACATTTGACTTCTATGGATTCAAGCTTTGTCTCTTTGTAATGCTTTTTTAACCCATAACCTACATTCAAAATGATAATTTGTAGCCTCTTTGTATAGCAAGAATAAGGCCGCTTACGATAAACACCCTCCTGCCTTCGATCCTCGCAAAGCGGAGAGCCTTAATGGCTTGGAATCGCTCATGATGATGTATTATATAAGTTATTTAGCGTTTTTGTTTTGGTCATTAATTACAATCGATCGGTTGTTTATTTATGCAGATTCTATCGGATATTTATTTTAAAGGCGGTCTACCGTACTCATTCATGAACCTTAAGACATTGCAAATTTTTATTAGGGTTTTCAACAAAGATGTCATCCCAGGTTTGACATGCCTATTCAAGAGCTCTCCCAAACTACATACTCTGAGTATTTACACAATGAACGCATATCTCGAAACTTATTTACCGGTAAGTTTCCGCACTCTAGTTTTGTTCGTCGATCGATTTATAGTTCAGTTTATATCTTTACTATCAATATCGTTCAAATTTTGAATTCAGACATGGCACAACATTTTGCTGGACGATGCCGGTTGCACTGAAGAGCAATTCTGGGAAAGTCAAGCTCAAATTTTGAGTCACTTCCTATGTCACTTGAAGGTAGTGAATATTCATGATTACTCACATAGAATCAATGAGAATGTGATTAAGTTTGCAAGGTTTTTGCTTGAACACGGAAGGAGCTTGCAAGAAATCATTCTTCATTCCCGACACCCGAGCGGGAAGGAGAAAATCGGTTCAGTGCTCGAGGGGTTCCTCGAGCATCTGCCGGTGTCAAAATCTCGGTTGCTTTGGCTACTCGTGCTAAATTTCCCGATGCGTGCGACACAGCGAAATTGATTTTTTTTGCTTTTTGATAAATAGTGAAACGACGATACGCTTTGTAGTTTTGAATTATTATGTTTTCCCATGACTTAAGGTTTCGATAAATTCAACATTGTATAGAACTTGGATTGTGGATGCCAACTGACATGAGGAAAACAGCAATACAAAATCTATGATTTATTTATCAGATCATAAGATCAATTCAAGTCATAATTACACAATTCAAATGGTAAGAGAAGTGTAAGCAGAAAGCAACAAATTTGAGGGGGGCTGTAAGATATACAGTGACCAGGACATTGTATAAGGGCACATTCGACTTCGTGCATCATCGATCGTGGGGCTAAAGCGAAGCAAGTGCCGACCTGTGGACAATGTCGTAAAGGGAGAGAAGAATTTCAGCACCTATTAACGCAATGATGAGCCATTCCAAGAAATCTGACTTCCTGTTTTGGAGAATTTCCTGAAGAAAACGAATATTGTGCTGCAACGAAGAAAACAAAATGTCAGCACAACATCCACAGCAGTTGAAAACTAGTTCACCAGATTTGGTAAACCAGTATTGAGAATAATTTGTTTCGTGTACCTCCACAAACTTCAACTTAAAATCAAGACTTGCAAATCTCTGAGTCAACTCAAATTCATCCCTGAGATATTCCCATATCTGAGCATATTTGGCATCCTTCCAGGCAATATCCGATCTGTAAAGTCAATCGATTTTTCATTAGTTGGATTAAACATGTCAAAGAAACTAAAACCTTTTGAGATGGGTGAAAAATAATAGCAGAAAGGGTTTTTTTGTCTTCTGATTCATTACTTTTCCTGTCAATCATAATCATACATGCAGATAACATTATGCCCGTCTTATGCAGGATCACTGTTATCCAAAACCAAATTTCAGATTGATAACCGCAGTATGGATTTAAAATTATTACCTCTCAAAAAGTCCGAGCTTAAGAATCACATCAGCAAGATTAGAATTTGCCTTTCCCACTAACTGAAACAGTTTCTTCCTCTTCATTTTAAACTTCCCAGTGGTTTCCATTTCACGATTAATGTCTGTAAACTCCGCAACCATTCCATCAACCTAAAAGAAGAAACAGAGTTCTGAGATGAATCATCAAGTTACGTTTTCACAAAGTTGAAGTTCCCAAGATTATGCACAGCAGATATACCTGGCGCACATAGTAATCAAGCGCAATACTTTGACCTAGAACACTACCAATAGTACGGATTCCATCAACATTCAAGTACTGCAACATTATGTAATCTAATCCCCCTTCCATCCATGTGTGCAAAGTGGGGTTCTCTCTCACCTCATACTCTGATTTCATAACAAAATAAAAGTTCAGATGTGAAAAGTATCCCAAAAATTGTAATCCACAACCATTGGAGCAGCAATAATGAAGCAGAAAACAGAAAATTTTACTTTGCAACGTTAAAAATTTTTAGTCCAACAATATTGATCGACCAAGAAATATAAAACAAAAACAATTGAGCTCAGCATGAATACTCAGTCAATAAAAAAATTTCTTAACTATAACACAATATGGAATGTCTGTGTACAGAATAGAAAGATTAATGAAATGAATCAGATAATGCAGAATTCATAAACTTCTTCTCTGAAAAGATATAATTTTGTTTATACAGTCTCACCATCCTTTCTCATTTCAGGCAGCGATCCTGATGCGTGTTTTTCCACAATTTTCAAATACCCATCAATATCTTTCTCACGGACATTGAACAAGACAATGGAGCCATACTGAAAGACTACCATGTAGCAACAGTCACTCCCACTTAAACTAAGGCCCAAACCCTGAAACATAGAAACTGCATTCAACTTATAGTATCATTTTTTGGGCAAATACAGAAAATGTAGGTAAAATGCAGGAAGCGGTAAAAGGTACAAGATTATCCCATCTGTAGAAAGGGTCTCATTATCCCTTTCTTTGTTAAGAAAAGAAACCAAATCAGAGCCGAAATCACTGGAAATCAAAGAAAAATGCAGCAAACTTACATCGTTGGAATCGGAAAGCTCCCCGAACTTAAAAACAACATAATTAGTCATTCGCGATGTAGGTGGGATGAAATTCAGCCTGTTCTGCTCTACCAAACTTCTTAAATCCACACTACATTTCACAAAGATACTTGCAAATTATAAAAACCAAGTAGAATCACAGAATTCACACTCTAATCCTAAACAATATGAACACTAAACTAGTGAAATCCTCTGCCTTTTCATTCCCAAACATCTGGGACAATTTCGAAACAAAAAGTTCAAAAACATGGAAGATCCGAAAACAGAACCTGGTGGAGAAGAAGTATGCTCGGACAGGAATCGAGGGCTTGGAGTCTTCGTCCACAGGGGCTTTGTGGCCATCGCCGACCTCCGAGCACGAAACCGGCTCGTTCCACTCCAATGTATCGGCATGCGAGACCGACGAAACGCAGCGCACAACGGCGAGGCCAAAATTGGAGGCGATGCCGTGGTTTATGAGAATCGAAGAGCAGGAGGAAATTGTGATCGAGTGGAGGTTCAGCGTTTTGGAAATGGAAGGAGCGTGGGGATGAGCTAGGGTTAGGATTGCACTGACGGTGACGCGAGGCGTAGACGGTGAGGAGGAAGAAAAGAAGTATGATAAGGAGGGAAAGAGACGCGCCGCCTTGAGGTGGGCGTCTATGGCGCGCCGCATTTTGGTTTCGGGGTTTTGGGGGTTTTGGAGAGGAAGACTGAGTTGCGAGTTGCTACTGAGTTACCGCTGGCTACTCGTGGGGTTTATCGATGGACAATTTTTAAGTACGATTTTCCTACCTGGGAAAAACGATTTATACTAACTATTATTAAGACGGTAATTGTATTAAATAATTGTAAATATAAGAGCTATATCTCTAATATATAACGTTTTTGGCTTACTCACATAATTTGTAGAGATATAACGTAAAATTATAAAAAACAAAAAAGATAAAATATTACTAAAGCAAATTAGGGCTATAATCAGCTTGAAACAGTTCGAAATCGCATTGAAAGAAACAAGGCAAGCCTTTTTGGAAAGAAAAAGAGTTGAACTTGAAACATGGATGCAAATGTGAATGTTCTGAACTAACTAAATTACAAATCTTTTACTATTAAGTTTATGTTCAATTTATTTATTATTCCATGTTTTATTTTCCGACCAATTAAGAAATTTTATTAAGATTTTATTGGTATAGGCTAAAATGTTTTTTGTTATATTTATTTAATGAAAAATGCTAAGGACACTCTTTTAACGTGAAACTCTTTATAGACTATTTATCACCTCACAGTTTAACATTAATTTTCGTGTCAGTATTATGCAAAAATATAATAGAGAGTTCTATTTTTTGAGAGAGTATCTTTAATATTTCTTTTATTTCCTATACTATAAATTATTTATTAACATTAAAATACGTGCTAAGAAATACGTGACAAGCTGTGTTAATTTGTTACAACACAAACAAATTCGATACAACTTGAGTTTAGTATCATGCTTGGAATTATTTAACTTGTACAAAAAGCAGCCCGAGCTCAAAAAGAAATTACACAAGTTAAGTTTGAGCATGATGTTCAACTTGGTCTATTTACGACCGTAGATCAAATAGTCAAATTGCATTTATTTCGTTTATCGTATATAGGAATGTGACTTGTGTTTTAATCGATTTCAAGAACAAATATGAATTTTAAAATATATATATGTTGGAAATATTTTTCAGTGGAGGGCTTGGTTGGATTACGATTAGGCCTAACCATATCGTGGTGTATCGTACTCAATGTCTCATAATATAACTAGAACACATCGTTCGATTTAGTTAGTTCTCCCTTGTAGTAATGAAAAACTGAAATGCCAAGTATAATACATTTCGTCAGTGCTGTTTAAATGACCTCTTTCTAGCCATTATGTTTAATAAACACGCCCTAAGTGGTTATATCTTATGTTGTGAAACATAATACGTTTCAACAAGCCAAAATATACAACTTATTTTAAGCAAGCTGAGTTAAAAATTAGTGTATACATTACCTAATTAAGGTTTGAATTAAGGATATTAATGCTTGTGTCTCTTGGGGGACTCACGTGTTCTCTTACTTGTGATTAATCAACGTTTACCGTTCGAACTTTATAATCGGAATTGTTCATTCTCTTTATTATCATTAAAAGATCATATACTTAAAAATTATTCAATTTGAATATCTTTTAATCATTCATATGATAAAACAAATATAAAGTGATAGAGAGTTCACTCTCTATGAACATCATGATGTTATGATGATAAAGGTTCGTTAATCGTAAATGGAGGACAAATACGCCTCCTTATGAGAGGATAAAAGCATTATCCTTGAACTAATACCTAATTAGGTTATCCATTGTATGGCTTAGCCGAACTCTCCCTCCCTTAATGTAAAAATAACGATGTACTAAAAAAAAAAAATCTTAATATTTGTCAGCCCAATTGGAACGGGCAGCTAGGTTAGTTTTGGGTTTGCTGAAAAAAACTGCTAGAGTAAATTTTCTTTTGACAAACGATAACGTTAGTAGGTTAAATAATTAGTAGTTAGGGTGGAGGGAAGTCAATAGAGACGAACCAATATCATGGTGCATAGGCATGATTGCTATCTGTTACTGCAGTAAAACATCATCTACCTGAAGTAAGTATTTCTTAGTTACCTTTTTTTTTGGACAAACATTACAATATCTACACTAAATTACAGGAATGGAGATTCAAACACAAGACCTCAGATTTAAAAGTGCAGACTTTTAACCAATTGAGTTACAATCCACTTACATTTACTAATTACAATTAGATTAGAGCTATTTTCAGAGGTGCTTAAAGATTTAAATAAATGTTACGTTGATTCTAGTTCAAGGTTCAAGGTCAAGGTTGATGAGCATCAGGATCCAAACTACCACCTTTCTTTCTAGCATGCAACTTGGATGCCTTGAAACTTATTGAAGCTGACCCAACGCACAGATTATAGCTAACAAATTGAATTCAAGCTTCTTGCATGTCAGAAGGTTGGTGAGACTTTAAATACGTGTTATAATATGAATGAAATACATAATTGATATGTCAAATATAGTATTAATAAGTATTTTAAAAATTGGCTAAGCTGCAACCTAGACGCTACGAGATAACCATCCGCCTTGATTAGGCCCAAGACACTAGCGTTATATAATAAATTAAATATAAAATAAATAAAATCGCCCTGGCCTCTGCCTAAGAGCAATTCCACCCCTGTGGACTTTGCGCCAGCACCCAGCGCATTTATCCACTCAAATGAACAGTAACAGACTCCAATGAACAGTAATAGGCCAAGGCATCTCCACCCCTAAAGAAATGCGCTGGCACCTAGTGAAAAAATGCGCTGGCACAAACGATCTCCATCCCTACAAAATGCGCTGGCACCCAGCCCATTTAAGATATTTTTAAATTTTGTCTAAAAGAATAAAAAAATAAAATAGTTTTAATTTCGGATAGGATTTTTAACCAATCTGAACGTACTATTTTGTAAATTAACATTTTTCAAATATTTATGTAATTTTTTTAAAATTTTCTGTACTTTTTAATAATTTTTCTGTATTTTTTTATAATTTTTAATGAATTTTAATATAGTTAATTAATCTGGACCGTTGGATTTGAAAAATATTCAAATCCAAGAGCCAGGGACTTGCCACGTGGCCAACGGTCATATTTCTGACCGTTGGGGCCTTTTTTTTTTTTTTTTTTTTTACTTTTTTGTAAAAAAAACGTGGACCGTTGATTTTTTATCCGACGGTCTATGTTAAAAGTAAAATTTAAATTTTTTTTACCGTTGGAAATCCAACGGCCGAAAGAAAGCCACGTCGCCAACTCGGGGGGTGGAGTCAGTGCGCCTGTCACGCGGGCCCGGCTCTGAAACCGTGTCGGGTACTCGCCGCATCACGGGCGTGAATCGCACGCGCCAGGCCAATGGCCCGGCTTCTTGCTCAGTCCATTTTGGGCTGGTCCATGCCCAGTTCGGGCTGGGTACCAGCTCATTTCATGGGGTGGACTTGATTTTCTCCGGCCCGGCACGTTTTTTGGACTGAGGGCTGGGACATTTTGTCCCCGCTGGACTTGCTCTAAGTATCAGGGCACTACGCCCCTTCTCACCGCCCGCCTACTATCTAATGATTTTTAAAATTGTGGTATTAACAAATAATTATGTGTTAATACTAGCCAATTGATATATACTTTCTCATGCCGATGTGACAATCATACATGAGAAACTTCCTGGTAACATACAAGCTTCTTTTCCTCATGCATTCCACCTTCGCAATGGGAAAGATATAGCAGTTTACTTAAAACTGAAGCTCATATACAACAGCAGGGCCGGTCTACAAATTTTTTAGGCATGGGGCGACGCCAAAAAATATGCTCTCACTTTATATAAGAAAATTATTTGTTTTCACACGTAAGACATTGATAAAATTATATTTAGAAAAACACTTCAAACTTAATAATTTAGAAACATGAAAAAACTAATTTATTTTATATCGTGAGAATGAAACAAAAAAACTCCAGGTTTACAAGTAGATAGATATGAGTTTTGTTTTCCATTTAAACTTTTAAAGTGTTTTTGTATAAATCGTGAGGTGTTTTTTTCTTATTTACTAACCTTGTCAATATGGAACTACAAAATAATGATGTTTTTGGGTCTTTAATTGATATGTATAAGTAATAAATGGGTACTAAATTAAACTTTTTGATGACACGTCATATGATTTACAAATTTGGTGTAAAAATTTGATCAATGCGTTACTCTTTGTTGAAGATTAAACTTGAATTGGAACAAATGTTTAAAAATAACAATCCACATAGCTACTGGCTACTACTTAAAAATAAATTAACAACCAAACAAAAATTCGTAAAAATTGAAAAGAATAAACATGCACTTAACATTTCGAACTTAGGTCTCGTTAAAAACCATTGATTCTAACTTTCTCATTAAACTTCTTGATTATTTAGCCAAATTTTATATATTTATACTCTTATGAACCCAAAACCTCCTCATAAATTTCAAACAACAAAACCACCAATTCTAGTTAAATTTCTTTGTAATTGAACCAAATTTTATAAATTTATACTCTTATTAAAACATATATAAATATATTACCCTAATAATTTTGGTGGCCTCAATTATTTTGGGCCCTAGACGGTCACCTTGCCAGAACTGGGCCTGGGCCGGCCATGTACAACAGTTACAAGGACAATGTTTGGTCATATACACACCACTGTGTTTGATAATGTGAAACACATTCGAAACGAAAAATTAACATCTCTGCACATTACAAACTAGTACATTTGCTCATGACCTAGCCAGCCTTTCAAAAGCACTAGTACATGCTGGATGCGGCTGGGAAGGGAAGGCGGCGGACGTTGTAGGCGGAAGCACTACCGTCTTGGAGGTTCGGAGGAAGGTAAGTAGCTGATGGAGGTGTAGTAGCTGTGGAAGATGGGAATCCTGATGATGCTGCAATGGAATACACTTGCATTGGGCTGACATTGTTGCTGTTTCCATGAACTTGCCATGCCCAGTTTGTGTATCTCGGCGAAGAAATTGGTTGCAATCTGTTATGACCTGAAGCCATTTCCTGCAAGAAAAGGTTTAGGTTAATTAGCATAGACTAATTTGAAACGTATTTTGCGAATAAAATGTCTAATCTGGATCGCTTCACCTGCATAGCAACCATTACGAATTGATGCAAAGGACACGACATAATTATCTATTATTTTTCTTCACTCACTTTCAATCTAGTGAGGGGGCTCAAGAAACATGTGAGTCAAAAAATGGACCAGGGTCCTCTTCCATGTTTGGTGGTCTTAAAAAAAAAGGGGCCTATAGACATTAAATTGGATAATAATCCCACATGTTAAATATGTTAGGAGAAAAATCTTATGTCTCATCTCTAGGAGGACTTACATGGCATGGCCGCACAATGGCAATCCATGTCAAAGAAATAAAGCCTTATAAAAGTTTTTTGTCCAAATGTCTTGTTCCACGTGACAATGTACATGTGCCATGTAAATTATTTTTCATCTCTAGAATGAGATTCTATAGGACGAGCCAGAAGACATGACCTAATTCCAATCTTGCCCAACCCACTAATTAATTAGATGATGCCTAAATAGGAGACAAACTTAGGTGTGAGGACAAAGATGGAGCAAGAAGGAAGTGATGAAAGATTTCAAGATAACTATTTATTCATCGCATAAGATGTATGCATTATAAGTAGCTCAAAACCATCAGTTAATTTTTTTTTTTTAATCATTCAACGCACATCTAATCATTATATTCAGCAATTTCATTCATTACTCTAGAATTTTATGCATTCGTATTACACTATATAAACTTCTAAAAACTAGAATCAAAAGTCCATCTATCTTCAAAATAAATAAACAATTAGCAATATATGATAGAGATGAGAAGTATTACCTCATGTTTTTGTACGAAACCTGGATATAGGGCAGGATGCTTGGCTACCATTGTTAAAACATGAGGGGGTTGTCCCACTCCCACAGCCGCAGAACAAAACCCATTAACCTGCACAAGTTGGCACTTATCATCATAAAACAGCCACCAACAAAAGGGCTCACTGACGAATGCCACATGCATTCAGAAAATATCTCAAAAAAGAAACAAAAAAAATGAAAACGACATAAATCTAAGAAGAAGAAAAAAAAAATGGACAAAAACATGAAAATTACTAAAATTAGGATTTTTTTAAAGGAAATTAAGGACATACCATTGGCTTCTCGTTAGGAAATTGAAAATCCCCAAATTTTCCCTTCCCTTTTTTACCAGTAGAACAAGGTTGAGAAATCCCTAGGTTCAGATCAAGGTTGTGACTACTGCCTGCATTTACATCAATACCAAATTCATTGTATCAATTCATGAGTAGCCATGGATTTTTTTGTTGTTGTCATATGGTAGGTAAGACAACCAAAATCGATAAAATTGACGTCGGTTTTACAAGAGCGAAAGATTCACATGCACACACGCGCTTGAGTGAATTTTGGTCGGCCCTATCTGTAGGTCAGGACTCATGATCAATTCACACGCTGGTTTGTGCACCACTCATACTAACATTTTTTAGTTTCGCCGCATACCTTCAATGCTAGCATGTAAAACTATCTCCCCTTCGTAGACATTGGGGTCACAGTTTGTAACTGCTTCTCTTCCGGTCCTGCATTTGACGGCCTTCTTTTCAAAGACACTGAAATCCAGCAACACAAAATACACATTAGATTAGATATATGTTTATGGAACGGAGCTTGGCTGATGAAAAATCAGCAGCAGCTCCTGCTGCTAGCGAACCACGGATGGACACATGTTCAAGTAATTAATTTTTTAATCACAACTTGGACACATGTCCACCTTTGATTCCTCGCTAACAGTAGGAGCTGCTGCTCAAGCTTTCTCCATGTTTATGTGTGTGTGTATATATAAGCTTCAGTAAAAGGGAGGACCGTTCTTACTTATTCCCAGGAACTTGTCCCATTAGATCTTCCCATCTGGCACCACATTTAGGCAGAGCAGCTGCTGCTACGCCTCTGTATTTTGAGTTCCCACGTGAGGCTCCTGTGCTTTGGCGACGAAGCGCGTGCACAAATTCTTCTTTATTCAGATCCCCCAACTACAAAAATTAATCAATCATAACTATAATTAGAAAGATTCGACCAAAAAAAGTTCGGCAATTAGTAAGTAAATCTGAAGTCAATCCAAACTCCTTAATCATTAAAAACTGAGTCACATTCTGTACCAGTTTCATATCTTCCTCATAATCTCCTAGGTTAAAATTGATATCGGCATCAACTCCGCGAAACTTGATTGCAGCTCGATCATATGCTCTAAAATCATTAAACCCGAGTGAGCTGATCTATGGTCCGTAGTTTAGATTAGTTTAAAATATAATATCGCTAAATATTAGAAAACTGTAAACAAATTATGTTCGTTACAAAAAAGGAAAACTGACTACCTAGCTGCAGAATGAGCAGTGTCAAATCCACCTACCAAAAAAGAAAAACAAAACAAAACCCAATGCAATTTAGATCCAATCCTGCAAAACCCATGAATCCAAACTTCTTAAAAATAATTATATGATCATCTGCTCACCTAAATAAACCTGCTTCCCACAATCCCTGCAAACCAAAAAAGAAATAAATAAGTTAAAATGATTGGACAACATAATTAACTGCTTAATGAAACAGCTTAATGATGATTAATGATGATCACCATATATGCGACTCCCACCGCCCTGTCCTGCGGTAAAACGTGACGCCGCGGTACTCAGAGCTCCGGGATCTTGGCCCGCGGCGGCTCTTCCTGGGCGGCTGTTTTTTCTGCTGTACAACTCTCAGCTCGGCCTGAGTCTGCTCTCCCGACTCGGCAAACGACAAATTCAGCCCCTGAGGCCTTGCCGCTGACGAGGACGATGACGACAATCCCAACCCGTACCCATCACCCTCCTTGCCTCCTCCGCCGTCTCCGGTCACCGGAAAAAGCGACCTCGTCACGAACTGCATAGATTGCGTTTGGTCTCCCGCCCCATAATTGCAGAGACCACCTTTCTCTCTCTTCAGGATATCAAACATGAAAGAGGAAGTGGTGTTGTTGGTGGAGTCTTCGTCTCCAGCATTGCTCGGAGTCAGAGCTTCTTCGGCATTGACGACGGAGGAGTTGGAGGTCCCGGAATCTTCAACCTCCATTGATTTTGTCTCAGTTATGGTGATGAAATTAACGTTAAGATCCAACATGTTTGTGTGTAATTTTTTTCTGTGTTTAAATCTTTGAAACAAAAAAAACCCAATTACAGAAATCAAATTTGGAACAAGAAAATCAAACCACCATGAAAGTTATGTAAAAATATTCAGATGGGAGAGAAGGGAAGGAGAGGAAGAAAGATGAGAACTGGTTGTGAGGTTTTGAGGGAGGTCTCAAAGGCTAAAAGGAAAGATATGGGGACGTGTTAGCTGTAAAAGAAAGTGAGTTACACTAGGAAATTTGGAGTGGGGTGTTGAATTTTTTTGTATATTTGTTTGGTTTTTTTTTTTTTTTTTTTTTTTTTTTTGAGAGCTTCTTGTTTTTTTTCCTGTTGTTTTTTTGGAAAGGGCCAAGGAGAGATTTTAAGGAAGTTAAAGGTAAACTTACCAAATTGATTTCCACTTAATATGAATCTGAATCAAAGGTAGTACAAAACAGGTAATTTGATTGGAACTAAATAGTGAAGTGACTTGACCCAACCTAAAAAGCATCACAAGAGTAAAAGCATAAAGCAGCTGGATTTATAGGTTACTATATTTTACATCATCTATGTTAGTTACTAGTGATTTTTTTAAACATATTAAGAAATTTCAATTTTCTCATATTGTATTTTAAAGTTTCAAAATCGTATAAATATATATTTATGGGTTGGTTTTTTTGATAAATTAATGACATGATTCTTGTGGAACATGTTTATGGGTTGACGTGCGTAAGGCACACTAGCCCTATATGGACAAAAACAAACTTATCATGAAGCTTTATATTCTTCTGAATCGATGATTAGTTGTAAAGTTTTAGTTAAAATTGTAAAATTGTGGCTTATATGCCAACTTATAACGAGTCCCTCTTATGACATGTCACCACTTTGAGAAGGATTCAATGTTCAAACAGACGAAAGATATAAATTGATGCGATGTGAAAATCTCATGGTCTAATGTAAAAATAATGAAGATCATGATCCATTTTGAAAACAACCTCAACTCTAAAAGGTGTAAAATGTAGTATATGTATATGTGTGAATATGATAACCCTTTTTTTCCTTGAGTTGTATGGCGGTAATATAAGATGTTTATATTACTACACTACAAGTCTAAATTATCGATCAAGCTGATTTTCTCATGAATGTACAATTTAAATTCATAATCTGACAATATAAGCATCTATCTAGCTTTACAAATTTTGCGAGACAACAATTCGTTGTATAATCCCAAAATTCACTTTGTGCATATGAGAACATGAGATTTTTTTTTTTTGATTGATTATTTAAAAAGAAATAAAATGGACTGACGAAATTCCCAAATGAGGTCTAATACAGTCAAATTGGACTGTGTATATGATAATGCAAAACGGTTTCAGATCAAAAAATTCACAAAAGTGACAAATTAATTACTACATATAAGAAATGATTTTACTAATTTTACAAGATATTTTGTAACAAAACCGTACATCTCCTGTACTATGTATTTGTTAATACATATAAGTTAAAGAAAAAGTCGATAAGATTAGCAGTGAGCTGCCTCCCTAAAATCTTGAGAGAGATAAAACATACAATTATTGAGGCAAAGTAGTAATGCAATGGACAATATCATTGAAGAAAACTATTGAGAGTGAAAATGTGAAAGAGAATAAAAGCATGTTGCCGCACGATTCATGTGTAAGACAGCCAATCGGGGGTTACAAGGATTGTTGTTGTTTCTTCTTTCCCAAAAGGGGCATTTCACAAGAAAATCCCAATCTTATTACTGCTTTAAAATGGACCCCCCCCCCTCTTAGAAGTCCATCCATCTCACTGCCTCGTATAAAATTTGGATATGACATCTTCTTTAGATCTCACAGTCCGAAACCACTAATTAATCTGTGACGTTCAAGAAAGAGATATATTTAAGTGTTGAAGGTAAAATTGTAGATGAACTGGGCCAATAAGATAGGCTAATAGAGACCGTAAAATTTAAATTAAACAATCTAGATTGTTCAATTTGTATGTTCTCAGTGTGAAATCTAAAGAGGGTCGCAATCCAAAATTTGGAACCACATTAATTTTTTGTATTGCAAATGGTCCTGTCATGTCGTTTTCACTCACCACATTCATCTTTACACACCAAAAAATTTGTTGGAATTATGGGATTTTTGTGTCCAATAAAAATGAGTATAAGATGAAATAACAGCTACGCAATGTCTAGTATTAAGCTTAATTTATTTGTAGCGCACTATGCCCAATCCACTACAATTATTATTTAAGAAAATTAAAGAAATGCTTCAACTTAGAACATTGTATAATTAAGCAGTTAAACAAAACATAATTCTATATTAGTAGGCTAAAAAATCTATGATGTGCAAAATACCGAAAGCCGTCCAAGATTTAGAAAGAATGTCAACGTGAATATTTTTGTACTTACTGTTTAGATTACGTTGTAAGAAAGGCAGTTCCTTAAGGGAGCAAAAGTCGTAGATTTGGCATTCAACAATTTTGGACGGTCAGGGAATCAGCTGGCAAATGTGAATTCTCACACAAAGATGTTAATACCTTATTCTAAAAAACAATGGGACGGAGCTGTTGCACCATTATTTTTACATAAATTTTGATACGTATTTTTGTTGACTTTATTTCGTAATATATTTTAATGATTCGAATTATTAAAATATATTATAGAGTAAGCTCTATAAAAATATGTGTAAGAAAAATGGTGCAATGGAACCTCTCCAAAATAATAATTAGCCGCAGTTTTATATCTGAATGGGACCATGATTTACGTGGGATTCTCTGGTTCGTCGAATACCTCAAAGATGGACGGAGGTATCAGAGTTTGATGCAAAAAATAATGAAATATCAAAGGTCTAAGGGTGTATCCTTTATTTGATGGACCACCTTCTTATATTATTTTGTTTTTAGTTTTATTTGTATTTCTGGTCAATCGATAGCCTCTCAATATATGGTGTATATGATGGTCCAGTATAAATAGAGACGTTCAATAAATCCAACGGTTGGGCTTGGTAATGACCTATCAATCTAAGCTAGCTCCACCCTCCACGCAATTAACAACCAAGAAAACGTGGCAAAAACTATAACTTGAATCATATATAGCAAATGTTTTTGGCCTTTGTTATATATCTTAAAACAATGTTGGTTTATGTCTCTAGTCCTGTTTTATATACAGCATAATGCAGGGACAAATATGCATTTTGTATTTGCGGCAAATGGATCGTAAATATCATATTTTTTACCGACGCATGAATATCGGCTATAGATATCCTTGTCAGTTTCAATAAGGTTTGTCAAGAAAGGTCCACGATATCTTTAAGGTTATGGTTTACTAAAATAAGTTTATGGTTTACTAAAATAAGTTTATGGTTTTGAATTTTTCAGTTTAACGACAAAAAAATAAAGAAGGTTCACACATCATGACGCAAACATAACTTGCTAAGACTTTAAGGTAGTGGGGAAAAAAGTTTGTTGAATAAGTCGGTCAAGGAACGAAATAGAAGTAAAATGATTTTCATAAAAGAAAAAAAAAAGAATTTGAATTGCAGTAGTAGCAGGTGCATAATTATGATATGTCTATTTATATATATACTTATATATATATATATATATATGTTTAATATTTTTTTGAAATGCAAGTACGATATTCATTCGTAACAGGAACAACGTACAATCAGAAATAAGGGTGCTAATAGTGGGTCTCGATAAAAACCTTATCAGGAAGTAACCAAAATGAAGGGAAAAAGAGTGTCCTGCACCAAACAAAATAACAATTAAGACTATCCTCCCAAATAATCAAAACATTAACAATGAAAACCATCCTCCAACTGAAGGTCATAAATTAAATCAGGGGTTCCTCAAACCAAGAAATTGGGTGCTCCAAGGTTAGACTGAATTTGGCTAGCCAATGAGCCACTGAATTAGCATCTCTTCGCACAAAGCTTGCTTTCCACGTTTTGAATGACTGCAAGATCATTCGGGTATCCTCCAATAAAATCCCAAATGGCTCGTGATTATCACCGCATTATTTTGAATTGCGGCGATGACCAACAACGCATCACCCTCCAATAAGATCTGCTCAGTCCTCCATTGCAGCGCAAAGATGGTTGCTTCACAGGCAACTGCCATCTCAGCTTGCATAGGAGACGCAATACCAGTCATCTTCATAGCCAAAGTTGCTATAAAATCACCAGCTACATTCCTGATGATGACGCCAACACCACCCATTGCCGCATGTTCATCCTACGCACCATCAAAATTACACTTGAACCAACCTTCCTCCGGCCTCCTCTATGTTTGCGCATTATTAGGTTTGACAGGCTTTTGTACCACATTCCACTTTTTAAACTCCAATAGCCATGTATGAGCTTGTAATTGGATTTCCTGTGGTTGTAAAACTGATCCTTGCCAAAGCATGGCATTACGAGTGTTCCATATCTTCCAAATCAACACCAGTGCTAAATCAAAGCTCTCCCTAGAGAGAGATTGAGCCAACCGAGCCAACCATTCTTGAAACCTAACCTCTCTATGTCGCAACATTTGCAACCCTAAAGGACTAAAGAACCATATCACTGCTGCACGAGAGCAATGCAATATACCATGTTCAATTGTTTCTGGCACGTTGGCACAAAAAGGAAAACAATCCTCTACAATGACCCTTATCTTCTTCAAATTGACTCTGGTTGGCAGAGCGTTCAAACAACTCCTCCAGATACATATTTTAACTTTACCTGGTACCTTAGCCCACCATAAAGCTTTCCAGAGAAACTGAATCTCCGCCGTCATCGCTGAACCATTCGGTATACACGATCGAGCAATGGAGTATGCACTCTTAGTCGTAAAATTTCCTTTGGGTTCTTTAATCCAAATCAACTCATCAGGTGGACTAAACAAACTCAAAGGAATACTCATAATAGGGTAGGCCTTCTCTTCAAAGAACATCTTAAGAATCAACTGCGTATTCCATTAAACATTATCTGAATCCACCAAGAGAGATCTCACGGTAAGGTTTAGATGAACTCCTACTGGTATAGGACTGAGCACTTTAGCATAATTGTCTATCAATTATCACCCCATATTTTTATATTCAATCCATCACCCACGCTGAATCAACACTCTAGCTGCCGCCACACTTTTCCAACAATAGGACAAATTTGTCTTCACCATAGCTTGAAGAAAATTCGTATTAGGGAAATAACGAGCTTTAAATATTTGAGCAACAAGAGACTGTGGGTGGTGGATAATGCGCCAACCTTGCTTTG